TGTCAGTGTTTTCAAACTATTATATTTGATTTACCAAAGTCACACAAGTGGCAGTTTTACATCTGTCACATCCTTAACGTAAAAGAGTCATCCATAACAAAGCTGTTTCCTCATAATTGCCAAAAAAAAAAAAAAGTCAAATAAAATAAAATTAATCATGTTTGTTCTATAGAGAGCCAACTCTTATCTTTTTGATTAGCAATGTTTCTTTTTGCTTGTGCAGTTTAATTTAAAGAATGTCTACAAAGTATGTTGTATACTGCAAACGCGCAGACTTTTTTTGTCATCCATGAAGCATGATTATTTCCCTCTTTTAAAATATAAAAAAAATATTCACAGACTGATATTTTTCTGATCCCTTTACTCTGTGGTTAGTTGTTCTGGAAAATATAAACAGGTGTTTTAATATAATGTTAACAGACTTTCCTGTCAATTTATGTTTTGAATTTTAACTGCAAATGTCACATCTATAATGCTGGAATTGCTCACATACATCAATACACTACGGCCAGTTTAGTTTATCCAATTCACCTATACCGCATGTGTTTGGACTGTGAGGGAAATTGGAGCACCTTGAGGAAACCCACGCTAACTAGGGTACAAGGGAACAACCTTCTTGCCGTGAGGTGGGTTTGCTTTGAGACTTTGCTACCCCTGAACTAGAACTACTAAAACTGAAGTTCAAGAGTTCGCCCTTGCCGATGATTGATTATAAAGTGTGTTTGGCATCCCGGAAGAGAGCCCTGAGCTTGTAAGATCGGGGCTCCCTCCCGTTGCAGGGCGAGAGGGGAGTCTGAGCTCAGGTAGGTCTTGAGAACTCCCCTGCTTGTTTATGAATTGGCTATAAAGATTGTTTGCGGAATTCATTGCTTGCCTAAAATGACAATTTAATTTGTCAATTTATTTATGTTACATGTTTTGGACTGTGGGAGGAAACCGGAGTGCCCAGGGAAAACCCATGCAAACACGCGGAGGAAATGCAAACTCCGCACAGAAATGCCAACCCAGCCAGGTAAGGTCTGAGCCAGTGACATTCTTGCTGTGAGGCAATGATGCTAACCATTGGCCTCCCTGCTGCCCAGATAAGAAAAAAGGGGAGGGGATTCTTCAAGACGAAAATGGTTAAGGTAAGATGCTTTGGTTATTTATAGTGATTTAGGAATCGTCTGATTGGTGGATCGTGTGTTAGCTAACGAGGACCAGCTGCTATCAATCATAAGCGCGTACTCCTCTCGAAATTAGTTTATAAAAAAACTTCAACTAAATATACTAAAACTGAATGTGTTCACAAAATAATGAATTAACAAAAAAAAAAATAAACATTAATGAAACAAACTAAAACTCAACTGAAATGTACAGCAAATTTAAAAATAAAAATGAAATAAAAACTTATTTAAATCTTGGCTTTTGGTCTGAATTGATATTTCAGTCAAACACTTTTCAGAGATATTACAACAGCGTTGTTGCCATCGTCAATTCTAAAATCTGATCCTACTTTTTAAAATTGTTTAATTACTTTTTTTATTCTACATTTTGTCTTCCTGCTTATAGATTTCACCACTGAACTAAAAGTTATTCAACCAATTCATTATTCAACCAGTAATCCAACCGAATTATTATTCTTTAATATTATTGTAATGACATAATATTGTAATAACAAGTTTTAATATGTTTGAGTGTCTGATAGGGCTCTTTACAATCCTCTGTTTGCCAGTCTGAAATGTAGTTTTAACAGCAGAACATTACAAGTGAATTGTCTTTTTGGATGACCTTAAACAAGACCGGCTGTGTTTAATTACAGTAGCAAGGGCTGATGATGTAAACCCACTTGTGAAGAGGAAACAAAAAGGCAGAGGGCGGAGCTCTGTCACCAGATGAGCTCATCACATGAGAGACAAAGACAGAAACAGATTTAGAAGATTACAGACGTCTGTACTTAACCTTCAAATTTACCATGACTTGAGTGAAGGGTCAGGCCTAAGAAGGAAGCAAAGTATATTTTAAAATCTATTTTTATCTGTCGAAAGACTAAAGAAGTAAAAACCTCATGCATGAAGAGAAATTTGTGCCATTTCCTCATAGGTTTCCTCATTGCCTATCCTATCATCCATCCTGCTCCACTGACCTAAATCTTCAGGACTCTGAGCAAAGCTTAAAAATTTATAAACATCCAGAGGTACAGTGACAGGGATATGCATGTGAATCGCATCGCTCCAGTGCACAGTCGGAGCGATTAAAGTTTGAGAGACTCCTGTGCACAGCTTCTGAACTCATTAAAGTCCTGTGGCAACGTCCATGCTGAGATGAGATGCACATAAATAAGTCAAGCTTCCTCTGCTTTTCTGCACTCAGCAGGTTTAATTAAGGTCTCCCAGTGTCTAGCTTTAATAGCTAAGCCAACCATTTCCATCTAACTGACACTGGAATATTACTGTATTTCCCGTACCTTCTTGGCCATCAGTTGGTAGAGGTTGTACACTTTATTCCAGGGAACATGCATACTAGTAAAATGCAGAGCTTTATTGGTCAGTAAGTATATAATTTAAAATTCAGTGGGTAGTGGGTAGCACAATCGTCTCGCAGCAAGAAGGTCACTGGTTCGAGCCTCGCCTGGCTCAGTTAGCATTTCTGCATGGAGTTTACATGTTCTCCCCATGTTTGCATGGGTTTTCTCCAGGTGCTCCAGTTACCCCCACAACTCCAAAGACGTGGTATATGTGTGTGACTGAGTGTGTATGGGTGTTTCCAAGTGATGGGTTGCAGCTGGAAATGCATTCGCTATGTAAAATGTTGCTGGATAAGTTGGTGGATGAATGAATATGTAAATTTTGCTGCAAGTTTGTGCATATGCATAACAAACAAAGGCATAGTTTGGTGAGGCAGTGACTGAGTGTGGAATCATGTGAGTTGTCATCTTCATTACATCCTATGGGAGTTCTGCAGAAATCATGTTCATGGATGAGATAAAATGTAAAAACTGTATTATCATGGAAGTAGAGTAAATCTAAAAGCTATCAAAAGAAAACAAGACCACTGAAGCAATTGCTGATGAGAATCGAACATGACACAGCAGAGCTTTTATTATGCCACAGACAGTCAACCATTTCTGGTTTTCCTGTCGTGATCGGGTGGGAAAAAATCTGCGAAATTTTATTATACTAATTACATTTTATGGTTCTTTCATAATGGGGTCTAAAATAGTGCTCAGCATCTCTGAAATGGGTTTGAAAATTCTTCAAAACATCTGGGATAATGTAAGCACACAAGTTCTATAACTTATTATTAGTGTTTTTTATTTTAGTAAATACAAATCTTACACACGGCGACAAGGTGGCTCAGTGGTTAGCACTGTCGCCCCACAGTTCGAGTACAAGCTGGGCCAGTTGGCGTTTCTGTGTGAAGTTTGTATGTTCTCTTTATGTTGACATGGGTTTCCCCTATAGTCAAAAGACATGCGCTATAGGTGACTTCAGGTAATTAAATTAGCAGTAGTGTATGTGTGTGCATGAAAGTGTATAGGTGTTTCCCAGTGCAGGGTTGCGGCTGGAAGGGCATCCGCTGCGTAAAACATATGCTGGAATAGTTGGTGGTTTATTCCGCTATGGCGACCCTTGATAAATAATGAGACTAAGCCACAGGAAAATGGATAAATGAAATCTTACATATTTTGCCTTTAATCTATTCATCATTGTATGAATACACAGTTCTGTTCATAAACTCTTTGTACATCATAGTACATAAGATGTTATGCTTTTGGGATTAAATTAAAACCACAGAGAAAAATATCATTGTAAAATACTTTTATAGATTTTCGAAATGTTTTAAATTTCCCAAATTAAATATTTTCTTGCTTTAGGAACATATTTTAAATGTTTTAAATTATCTTTTTTATTTCCTGAGACGACAAATATGTTTATTCAACAGCTGTTATTCCAGTTTTCAATTTTACATAATGCTTCAGAAGCTGTTTTAATATGGTAAATCTGTGCTTACTTTTTAATTAACAACCATAATGTAATAGATGTGCTTTAAGTATAAGTATAGATGTGTACTTATAAATCTATAAGTAGTAGATGTGCTTTAAAAACTTGAAGTTTTTAACATTCTTTAAGGAGATTAAAATGCAAAAGTACAGCATTTATCTGAAACAGTTAAGAACAGGCGGTTCATTCCGCTGTGGTGACGCCTGATAAACAAAGGACTAAGCCTAAGGAAAATAATTTAATGAATGAGTTTTAGCAACATTTTTGACCCTTTTGATTAGTTTAATTATAGCAATAATTTTATTGACCAAAAATTGTGTAAAGGCGGCATGGTGGCTCAGTGGTTAGCATTGTTGCCTCACAGAAAGATGGTAACTGGGTCGAGCTGGGCCAGTTGGCATTTCTGTGCATGTACTCCCTGTGTTCACATGGGTTTCCTCTGGGTGCTCCGGACCCCACAATGCAAAGACATGCGATATAGGTGAATCGGATAAATTAAATTGTTTGTAGTGTATGTGTGAATAAGTGTGTATGGGTGTTTCCCAATACTGGGTTGCGGCTGGAAGGGCATCAGCTACATAAAACATATGCTGGAAAAGTTGGCGGTTTAATCCACTGTGGTGATCTCTGAAACAAAGACTAGGCCAAAGGAAAATGAATGAATGAAAATGGTGTGTAGATAAATGAACATATACATATATGCACTATTTATTTAATTTCTTTACAAACTACATATTCTCTATTTTGATAATATATTTTTCCCAAATAATACAATGAAACAATATCATTATCCACTCCAAACATCCGTCAGTTTTATACTGCCAACTATGGAGTTCATCCATGAACTATCACCACTGTGCCTTCAAGCAGTGCACTTACTCCATGTAAGCAATAGATTATATGTTTTATGAGAACACCCATTGCCAACTACCCATAGAGCCATGTGGCGCTTCCCATGAACAGTAAGAGTATCCAGATGGCACAGGTTTTCAGGAAATGTATTGTGATTACACTCACCAGCTGAAACTCACTCCGTCGACCGTAGGCTTCCTGGATGCCGCTATCATTCCAGAGTGCCTGCAGGGCTGGGACGTACAGCTGAAAGGTGCAGGGTTCCACAGCCATGCCTGCTTTGTTTTCGAAGGACATAACAAACATGCCATGCTTTTCGTTTTCAGAGTTCTGCCAGGAAATGCCAAGTTTGTCTCGGGCATCCACCAGTACCCGCATGCCCTTTAAGAAAAGATGGGAGAAAGGCAGAGTAGTTAATATCTTAATGTTTGTTTGTGTATAAAAGTGTGTAACTACAGAAGGGTGTGTTCACTATAGCTGAGCTTCTATAAATGGAAGTGAGACAAAGCAATTATTTTGGAGACAAAACAAAGATAAGAGCAATGTCTTCACCTACGGTAAGCTTTAAACAAGCTCAAACATCTGTCTCAGTAAATTCTTCCGGGTCAGCTTCAAACTTGTTATAAAGTTATGTTTAAAGGGACAGAATATGATTGTGAATATTCCTATTCAAAACAAACAAAGGTGTTTTTTGATGATGCTGTGACTGAGTGTGGAATCATAGGAGTTGTCTTCTTCATTACATCCTACTGGACTCCAACAGAAATCATGTTCATGGAAAAGCTAAAGTGTTAAAAATGATGGTAATATGATGCGAAGTAAGATTTTCTAAGAAGAATTTCTGAGATGGAAGACCAGCATGACACAGGATGAAAGCAGTGGAGCTTTTATTATGTGACCAGATCGTGTTAGCAAGAAGCAGTGCTGTTTTATCATCTGAAATATACTTTAGTCAAAATTAGAAGCGCATCATCACCTTTCAGCAGAAGCGCAAGCTTAACTAGCGCTCTAAGCAAACAATGATGGTGACGTCCTAACGATGTTTGTGCTGCCTATTCAAGGATGAGAGTGAAGAGAGGGGGAGGTTGGGGCATAGACGAAAGTGAAGCGGATGGGGGGCTGAGGGTCGCAAACGAAAATAAAGAGTCTATTTTGGGCACGGTTGGCAGGGGGGTGATGTGATTGGGGTGGTGTTGTCGCGAGCAAAAAGGAAAAAGGGGATGGGGTGGAGGGGCGGGTCTACTTGTCGCCCCTTGCAGATGACGCCCAGGGAGATCACCAGCAAACTTGTCCTATAACAATTGAACAACAACCGACTTTTTTTGACCCACTTCAAATGCTGACTACTGGATTTTATATTTCTTTTATTCTTTTTTTTTATTAAAACATCTTTGATGTTTCCCTGTTTACTATACAACCAAAGCAAAAATTGAGGGTGTGCAACATTGCTAGTTAAAATAGCTTATTTCTCTGGATTTGAACATTCTTTAAAACATTTGGAACAATTTATGTACATAATTCAGCAATATATATATATATATATATATATATATATATATATATATATATATATATATATATATATATATATATATATAAAACACTAAAACACTGATCTAAAAAAAAACTTTTCATATCCTGCCTTTAAAAGTTAGTTTACCCAAATGTTTTTTTTTTTTGTTTGTTTGTTCCCCAGATTACTTTTTTTATTGTCAGTTGAACATTAAAGCAATATTTTAGCTGAAACTGTTTTCAAAATATGCAAGTTAATGGCTACCAGACTTTTAAAGTTAATCAATGCATATACAAGCAAACAAAATTAATTCCCATGGCTCCTAAAGCAAAGCATTTGGTACGTGAAGAAAGACCATTGTTAAAAATATTTAACCAACGAAAACATCTAGGATGCCCTGACTTTGAGAAATATAAGAGCAATATAAGAGTGCAAACTTTTCCATTAGGTTACAAATGACTAGTCTATGAAAAAGTATTTCGAATACAGTCATAAGGCTAAACTACAGGTGTCAAACTCAGTTCGTGGAGGGCCCACAGCTCTGCACAGTTTGGTTACAAATCCTAACACCAGCTAATCATATCACAAGTAATTATCTTTAGAACTCTCAAGGTTCACATTAATATATGAATATACAGTAGTCGACATTCAAAATGGATCAAAAAAGATTTTTAAAATCATCCTAGGGCAAGAATGATATGATCAATAGATTTAGAACAACTTTGAAGAAAGGTTTTGATCCACTTGAAATGTTGACTACTGTATATATTTCATAATTGCATGTTAGGATAAATAAACTAGGCATGGGTCAATATAAGATTCTGATGGTATGGAATGACCTTGGACAAAAATATGCCGGTTTCACAGTCTTTTTTTCAGGGTTTTTACCTTAATTGGATAGGACAGTAGAGAAAATGGACAGGAAAGTGTGGGGAGCAGAGAGAGGGGAAAGATCAGTATAGGACCATTAGGCGGGACTCAAACTCGGGTCGCTGTGAGTACTGGAGTGCATGTGTCAATGTACTTTCCACTACACCATTGGCACTGTCATGATTACTGCTCTTAAATATATTCTTTTTAAATGTCTGGGTAAAAAACAAAAAAAAATTCCCCTTTGAACACAGTAAATTTTATTTTGGGAAACATTTTAAATATTTTGGAGCAGTAAACATGTCAGTCAATTCAAATGAATCATTGATTTCTGCTGCCTTTCTTACTAAAAAACTTATTTCTTTACCATTTTGGATATATTTCCTGCTGGAGATACTGTTGTTCTAAAAAAAAAAAAAAAAAAGTAAATAAAAAAAAAAATCACACATATACCATAGGAACAATATGGTAAAAAAAAATTGTTTAAAAACCTTGACTTTTCCAAACCACTGTATACCTTCCCATGCCTAGTGTTCACATGAATATTTTAATTTGATTGAGCTGCTGTTAACGCAGAGCGACACAAAAATGTGCATGTCATCAATGTGACAGAATATTCATGAAGATTTTCTAATCCCTTGTCCCATCTTGTTGTGCAAGATTCTGGCCCAACCAATAAGAGTTGTGCTTTCAGTCACATTCCCAGAGCTACTGCTGTTACATAAAACACCACTGTCAGTTGAAACAACTTAGAGACAAATCTGAAGTGTGCTTGTTCTGAATTTGGGAGAAGCTCAGAATGCTGTCGCTCATGCATGACATGTATATCCAAAAGAGAAGATTTGTGCCTGAAACACTCCACTTTGAAGCCAAAAACGAAAACATCTCCAGAAAATGCACTGAAACTAAACTTCCGTGATGAGCCTCCTCACTTCCAAGCATAACACCAAAACACAAGACCCTGAACTGAGCCTTTGGCAGAAACCAGGAGGGCTGGGCTCTGTGGAAGAGCAGAAATATCATGAGACGCTTTGTAAATGTAACATAAGACCATTGGCTATTATTGATTATGACTGCAGTTTCAACCGAGGCTGAATCCTGCTTCTACAGCACATTTCAGCCTTCTTTTGTTGCACTTGAAATAACATCCTGAAGTTCAGATTCCCAGAAGGGGGTCCTGGTCCTCTTGTACTCTGTTGAGACATGTATGAATCATAAAAACTAGCACTTAAACATGCCCTGGGCAAGAGTATGCTATAGTAATTAGAGCTCACAGCCAGATTCAGTCTCAGAAGAAGATAAAGGGTCCCTCAGGCACAGGTGCTTTGTGAGATTTGACCTAGCAACCCAGACAAGTCAGTTTAAAGCCATTCCATCACGGCAGGTCAATGGGTTAAGCGTAAAGGCAATGAAGACTGCTATTCTGTCTGCATGTGCAAGGGATTTGTATATCAACTTGAGAAACACGCACAGCAAACCAATAAAACAGCGGGGCAGCGAGAGGAAATGAATGTGGTACAGTCCTGTTAGTCTGCTTGTCTCCATTCAGTCCAGAGATTCCACCTCCTCCCAAATCCCAAGATTCCCAAAGCTATCAAACAGTTCACAAATGTAAACAGTTGTTCGTGCTTAAGGCCTCCCTGCTGGTTCTGGTTCACGCTCTTAACAGTGTGCTTTGCTCCAGGGTAGTCAGGGTACTTTTCTAGGGGCCAAACTCAGTCACACTTCAACCCCCCAATACCAACCCATCCATCTCTGACCTTTCACCCACTTCTGGCCAACACTATCTGGGAAGCATAGCAATATCCTCCTGTCCTCCTTGGCTGGATCCGCTGACACAGTTAGGGCAAGAGAGACAAGGCAAGAGAGACGAGGCAGCTTTATCGCAGCAGAGAGGTCAGTTGCAGGGCTTCCAATCTCTTCCTGAGTTGTGGCAAAGTCCCAAAAATAGCTCTGAAAACCACCAAAACCTCACCTCACTATGAGCAAGACTCCTAGCGTTTCTGAAAAGCCTCCTGAAAAACAAGCTCTTCGGGTTTGTTTTGAATGGCATCTTCCAAAGAGGTTTGTGTTTTAAATCTTTAGCAAAAAGCCACAGAATTTTCCATGAGATTTTGAAGTCTACATCAGACAATAAGTGATATTCCCTTTGCTGTTTGTTGAAAATGAGGAGTGGGGGATTTCCTGAATGTTCAATCAACTGAGAGAAGATTTGAAATTCAGGGATCTTAGCGAGAGACAGGGCTGACAGTGAATCTCAACTGTGGGCTCTCATCTGACATGCATTAGACAGGCCCTGCGTGTCAGGCGCAGTAATTGCTCCAGTGGTGGTAATGGCAGTGCTGTGATTTCGCAGCGTAAGCAAATGTGGGTAGCGGTCCAGGCACCCGCTCACGGGTTCCCCACCGCTGAGCAACCACAGCTAAATCAGCAACAACTCCTTCGCCATAAACAAGCCGCCTGTGAAGGAGCCTCCCAAGACTCCGGTCACAGAGGAACTCTCAGATTTATCATGCAGGAAGATGGGCTTGATATATGCTTGCTCCCTGTGTCACCCCCCAGCCACTTCCTGTACCTCCCCCGCAAACATCTTGCAAGCAGGACGTATGAGTTTCGGGATTTCTGTGAGGTACAGTTCCTTGGTAACATGCTATTTTATCCACACTCTCATTAGGATGACAGAGCAAAACGCATTCTGGCTGAATACCACAACTATTTTCTCAAGGATGTAGTAAACAGAGGAAATGCAACACTGCCTATGGTGTCCTGTTGCACAAGTGAGCGTTTCAACAGGGAAACTGAGCCTTGGAGGTTCGAAGTGAGAGGTACGAGAAGCCAAACAGAGGTCAGATCTTATCGTGGCCTTATATGCCGTGTCAGTCTCAGGTCAGTCTTTAGATCACACTCTGATCAAAGATAGCTTTCTAAACGTAGAGTTAACTGAAAAAGAGTAGATAGATAGCTACTGATCGAAGAAGTAATAAATTCCCAGACATAA